CAACACTGTCCCCGTCATGCACAGCTACGCGGCAGGTTGCCTACCCGCGCGGTGCCAGGCGGCCGCCGCCTGGGCGGTAGGCAACACTGTCCCCGCCATGCACGGCCACGCGGCGGGTTGCCTATCTCCCCCATGCCAGGCGCTCGGCGCGGTGGCCTGCCTCCCCCGCCTCCGGCCGGTGTGCGAGCGGCCGGTGCGTATTTGCCTACCTGATGCGGGCCCGCTTCCCTCTCGTCTGAGTGGCCCTTACTCAGCCGCGGCGTTGCGGTTGCGTCATGACTGACCGCCTGTCGACCAAATCAAACGAGAGAAAGGCGGGTGAGGGGCTGGCTTTACGCCACTGTGCATTTCGGTTGCATTCTCGTCGTCGAGCAGCTGAAATGCTCTCGCCCGGGGGGAAGTACACTTTCCTCGGGAGCACCATACGTCCACTTACGATACCTTCACACGACTGCCCTGTAAAAATTGCCTTGTACCCCTATAAAGTGGAACCCAGTGGACGGAAACGGGCTGGCTATCGGCTGCCCCTGGCCGATCATAAAAGGAGGAAAAGGAAATCAACATTAACGCCCGCGCCGAATCTAGATCTGGACAGGCTCGGCCAAGTCAGGCCTTCAACTCGGCGTCAAAAGGTTCTCTTTCGAAAAAATGTTATTTTGCTGAACCTTTCGAGAAAGAGGAAACTTCCCTCTAGGAAAGGCGCGGCGTGGTGCATTTCCAAAGTTCAAAACCACCAGCTCATCTCTAAAAAAAAGTGCCAACTTGGCACAGAGTTATGAGAATCCGACTCGACTTATTTCAAATTGAGGCGCGACGACGATGGTGATCAGAGCCGAGCTGATGCCGTATACCCATACCCATTGGGGCTGTCTCCCACCGCATCCAATATTCCCGAGGGTTTATTATGCGGAGGCTTTTGCTCGGGATCCGATCGCCGCCGCCGCCAAGCCCGCATAGGCCCCAAACAGACGAACCCGGCCGCCGTTGCGGCGCAAAGACGATCGTGATGGTGTCGTCGATAGCAGCGGCGGTAGCCATACTGCCACACCAAAAACTTGGACACATAACTTTTTAGACAGTCCCTTGTGGTCTGTCTCTACCCGAAGGTAAAAATTTCCCGTTTTGATAATTATTGCCGGTTCTCGTTATCCAGTTTTGATAAAGATAGCCGATTGACGTTCCAGTTCCAGTTTTGATAAGCCGATTGACGTTGATAAAGATCTGTCTTGCTATAATATTAGGCTGTGGGGGAAGGCTTTCCGTCCGTTTTCCGTCCGTATTCCGTCCGGACCAAGCCCGGTGGCAGTCCCTTGTCATCGCCCTGGTTGTGTTATAAACACAGCGCCCTTATCCCTTGCTTCGTGCCGGGCCATGGTGGGCCAGCTGACCCCCACTCGAGCCTCTTGAGGCAAGCTGCGTTGCGCCTCGCGCCCCGCGCCCCAGCCCCTACCCACTTAGAGCTCAATCGGCACCGGGCGCCACATGGCCCGTCCACTTGACAAGTGATCCCCAGCCTCAAATTTTAAAGTTGAACCACAGCGCTCTGAAATATGAAATGTGCTTGTTTTCGCGCGCGCAGAAATTACGAATCCAGCAAAATTTGAATGGTGGTTCTAGCATAATTTGCTGATTTTCGTTGTTTTTGATCCGTTACATGAAAAAGCGCTCCTGGGTAAGGTGAAAGTATCCCGTTTTGATAAAGGTCGCCGTCGTCGGATATTGGCTGATTAACGTTCCGGTTTTGATAAGAAGATTTTCAGTCTTATTTTGATGCCTTATTGAACTTAAAAATACAAGCCTTAGCGCCTGTTTATTTTGAATTTGCTTTTGGAGCCGGACTGTCTCGTTACCGGCCGGCAGGCCAGTTTTTTAATATTTACGAATAAGTTTCTGTTTCTAAATCTTTTTGCTGTGTGTATGACTGAGTGCGATTTAAATTACGCGCCTCGATACACGCTGGGGCATGACCGCGGGCGTGACGCGCTCTCGCGGGAGACTGCCGTCATTTATTTTCGTGACGTCACGGGGGTGAGCACGCTCGCGGATGTGCCTGTAATGAGATTCACGCCGGGGACGGGACGGGTGCAAATTGGAGACACCGAGTAGTGTTGTGCAAACGGTCATTTCAGCCCTAACGTTTTTATTCTGGACTTTATCGGCGCGCGCGGAGGCTGCTGAGCAGCGGCGGTAACTGTGACGGTTGCTGTGTCAACACAAAGTCAGTCATCGTCACCCGCCAGACTACTTATCGTCACGTCGATCGGTATGGGAGAGCAGCGGCCCGTCGAGTGAGGGCTCATCAGTGACTGAGAGCTGTCCGTCACAACTTAAACGAGTCTATAATAACAGTCAGTAGTGTTACGACAGTTTCTCTGGAGTAAACGTTCTGCACCTGTAGTCGGGTGCAAATAACCCATACACACCAACCCACAAACACAGCTTCTGTAAGTTTAATTAAATAACTAGCTTATACGGCTACCAAGATATTTTATATGTGTAAAATTATTTCTTGTAAATTAACAGAAAGTTCGGGCTGTCGCGGTACATAAATTAATTGGAGTTGAACGACGGTGGTGCGGCGGTGGTATGTCTGCCTCGCATGGTTCCAGGAGCAGCCGAGTCGTTTCAAAAGCTTGATAGCCGTGCTGCAGGTGGCTGTGGCTGGACCAGTTGGCCCCCTCTTTCTTTCCTCCCTCTAATCCGAATAAGTGCCTGGAGCTGACGTGAAGGGCTCCGTTAAGGTTTTTTATTCAAATTGTTTTGGTTGTGGGGCGGTGTTACTGCTTCTGCTGCGGCAGCTTGTAAGGTCAATCCGTCAAACCGTCGATTGACATTTCTCAACACACTGGAGAGGTTAGCCGGGAGGTAAAGTCGATGATTGATGTATGAGTAGCAGTGTGTTGTGTCCGGGTAGGTAGCACCTCCACCTCCCGCCTCCCTCCAGGGTCGAGGTAAAAGGACTGCCCCCGGCGTTCTTAAAGAGCCGCGTTAAAAGTACCAGCTCAAACAGGCCCGCGTCGTGAGGGCTGAAGCGTCGTCGAGTGTGGCATGGGCGTTACTGTGGAGTCGTAACGGCAATGACGCAAACAATAAAAGAAGCAGCCGGACATCCAATCCCCCGCACTAGCCGATGAAACCAGAGCCCTCATCTCGACCGATCCCGCCTCATCCTCGTCGGCCGGGTGTCGCCGGTCCATGACTGGGGCGAGCCTCCTGCGCCGTCGTGGACCGTCGTGGAACCTCGGCGCAGCTGCAACGAACCAAATGGACTTGCCTTTCATGTCGCCATTACTGTTACTCAAACTTTAACAAACAAAAGTTGCCCTCTACCGACAAGTTGTCGTGTGCTGTACTTTTCTTTCTTTTTAAAATTTGATTTCCCCATCGATCCTTCCTTTCTCCGTGTGCGTGGCTAGCGGACGGACGTCAACGACTAGCCCGCCAGCCATGCTCCGCTGCGGCGGCTCCGAGCGCAGCAGCGGGCTCCAGACGTCCCTGTGCGACACGTTTGCATATCGCTGGAGGATATCTTCCCTTCAGCTTGACGTCGTCCCGGGCGAGGTGTCCGTCCGTCCGAGCCGTTCAAAGTCGCGGGTCTCCTTGTAACGCTATCCCCCCCTCGGGGGTCCAACGGCTCCGGGGGCGGGGGGGGGGGGGGGGAGGGAAATGAAGGAGCGTTGGAATATTTAGAGGCTATGGAAAGTGAAGGTGTGTGTTCCTGTTCCATTCGGACCGAGATGCGGATCGCTCATTCTCTGAACGACGGGATGGCTGGAGGTGGGGGAAGGAGGGACGCAGTGGGAAGGGGCGCCTCCCGCGGCCAGGGTTTACTCACTCTCTCGTCTCGCCTGTCGTCCCGGACAGGCGGGCCGCCCGAGACCCTCGCGGAGGCAGGGAAACAGGGGAGAGGTCATCATGCCCGGGCCCGCCGAGGCGCGCACACGCGCCCCGCGAGAGCAGAGGTGTGAGAATAACGACCGCCTTTATGACTTCATAACTCCGTCTCTTTTATAAAAACGCACACTTTCCTTTTTTTGTGGTGCTCACGATTGCCGTGGTTTTGTTCCAGATGACGCCGGGACTGGCCGCCTGCGCGACGACGCGGGGGAGGCGGCGGCCGTCGAGAAGGTGGTGACCGCTTCGCCCACCACCATGATGCGGTCCATGCCGGGGGCGGGTGCCGGGGCGCCGGGCCACCAGCCGGGCTCGGGTCCGGGCCCCGGCACGCAGTGCGACGCCATGCTGCTCGGCAGGGAGCCCGTCGAGGGGGCGGTGCACGCCACCTCCCTGGGCAGCCTCGTGCGGGGTCTTGCCGGGACCAAAGCCAGGCCAAACCGCCAGGGTGAGTCACTTTTTACTTTATGGAGGACATGCACATGCACTAATCTATTTTGTTTTAAACGATTAGTCTGTAAATTACATCATCAATCGGCCCTTTGTGAAGTATTTCTCTTTGCCTGCGGCTGGATCGACTCACACCATTTGTGCTTGCAGGGCGACGCTACCTGCTGCGCTGCTCCGACGTCGGCGTGGAGCTGGTGGCGCGGAGGCCCGCGCTGCAGCGGCCGCCCGGCGCCCTGGCCAGCGTGCGCGCCGACGACGAGGGCTTCGAGTCGGACGAGGACCGGCGGTCCACCCGCTCTGATGACTCGACGAGCGTGTCGTCGTCATGCTGCCTCGTGGACGACCACGTGTTCAAGGCGGGCCTGGCTGCGGGGGCGGTGGCCCGGGCCGTGGCCCTCCCCGGCGCGTCCTCCACCAGCTCGGACAGCGCCAACAGCAGCGGCGGCTCGGACACGGACGAGGTGGACGCCAAGGCGCCGCTGGAGACCATCGCCGTCGAGCCGCCCGCGCCCGTCAGCCCACCGTTTCGGGAGACGTTCTCCTTCCAGGACGTGGCCTTCTGCCACGTGGACGCCGCCTTCCCCCGGGTCGTGGTGCTGGTGGTGCGGAGGGGCGCGGCCCCGCGTCGCCTCAGGCCGCCGGGCGGCCCCTCCAGCGCGGGGGGCGGCGCGCCCGGCGCGGGCCTCGAGGCGCTCGTCCTGGAGTGCCGCGGCGAGGAGGGCGTGCGCGCGCTGTGCGCCGCGTACCAGGACATGAGCCGGCGCGCGCGCATGGACGCGTGGTCGCACCGGCGGAAGGAGGACCCCAAGGACGTGGTCGCGGCCACGACCGCCACCACCGTCGTCAGCGGCACCGTGCTGCCCAAGTTCATCTTCTCCAAGGTGGACGAGGCGGAGCAGGCGAGTCGCTTCAACCTGGTGCAGCGCACGGACGGCGACGGCGTGACGCACATCGAGGTGTCGCGCGGCGGCGGCGCGTCCCTGGTGAGCGTGGACGACGCCTCCGAGGTGTGCGGCCCGTCCAGCATCATCAGCATCAGCACGCCGGACGCGGGCAACGTGCTGACGGACCGCGACCGCACGCGCCTCAACAAGGAGATCGAGGGCGTGATCCGGCCCATGGCGGACTCGGAGCCGGCCGCGCGGCGGGAGCGCCAGCGGCAGCACGCGGACGAGCCCAGCCTGTGGACCACGGCGCTGACGCAGGACGACGACGCGGTGGCGGCCGGCGTCGGGCTGAGCGTCGGGCTGAGCGGGCCGTCGTCGCTGCCGCCGCCGCAGCGCCCCGAGCGCAAGCGCTTCGTCCGCAAGAACAAGGCGCCCGCGCCGCCCGCGCCCGCCGCGAACCACCCGCAGGGCGCGCAGCAGAACGGGGACGCCAACGCGATGACGCTCAAGAAGAAGGCGCCGTCGCCCTCCCCCCAGGAGGTGGTCGTGCTCAACAACACCCTCAACAGGGTGGGCCGGGTGGAGCAGCGCGGCGAGCAGCGCGTCGTGCGCGGCCAGTTCATCCGGGTGTCGGTGGAACAGCAGAAGCAGGCCTGGCCGCACGCCAGCCACTTCCCCGCCGGCTGGACGGGGCCGCCGCCCGCGCGCTCCGCCACCCCGCACCACGGCGCCCACCCCTGGGGAGCCTTCCCCGACGCGGACCACCGGCACCGCTACCAGCGCCGCAGCCGCAGCAGCGACTCGGGTCGCGGGCAGCAGCAGCAGCAGCAGCCCAGGCCACGCAGCCCGCCCGCCGCCAGGAGGCCGATGGCCTACCGGTACATCGACACCCCCGCCTCCGCCCACGCGGCCCCGGCCCAGCAGCCCGGACGGCAGCACCACGCCAGCGCCACCACCAACTCGCTGTCCAACCGCTTCTTCGGGCTGTCGCAGAAGTTGAGGGAGATTGGGGGCTCGGTGGTGGGCGGAGGCCTCGGCGGTTACCCTGGCTCTGGTCGTCGGAATAGCTGGGGGGACTCGCCCACCCGCTTCTACACTAGTTTAGACCCTCCGCTCAAAGCCTCGGGTGGCGGCAACAACCTCAAGTCCGTCATTAAGAAGAATCAGACCGCGGGCGGCGCCGAGCCCAAGAAGGTCACCTTTAGCGCGTATGCCACAGTGCAAGTTGTGGACTGAGCGAGCAGTCAAAAATCCTTTTCTTAGTGTTCTTGCTGTGTTTCTTTTGTTTGTTTTTTTTTTTTTTTGGTTCTTTTCAAATTTCATGCATGTCAATAATGGCTTTTTTTTAAGCGTGAAAAAAAGTATTTGTTTTAATTATAATGAGAATACTCTGAATAGAGAGTGGAAATCAAGGAAGTGCCAATGTGGTGTCGGGAGGTGCGACTCTCCCGGCCCCGAAATTAGTTTATTGAAACTGATTATTTAGTACCAATTGCTACCTACCCTACAGTGTACATGCTTTGATATTCGTATATATATTTTTGTGCTACTTAAGCACTTCAGTCGTGTACAGGTATGGTGTTAAGTATGCCTTTTTTAGTTTAAGTTGTTGATATTTTTGGTCTTCGTTGTTTCTGTCCTATTCTTTCAGTGTCTGTGGTTTACTAGCGGAAGTGTTTGACATTTTCTTGTGGCCTGTAAAATTTCCTGCTTTCTCTTATCTCTTTATGCGTTTTTTTTTTATTTAAGTCACTTCCTACATTAATATCATGTGATAAAACACAATCAATGCCCTATCCTATCAATGTTTCCTTAGTGTATAAATATTTTGTGAATAGAACTTTTGTGAAACTGATTACCTCTGAAAACTCACAGGCCTCATAAATACTGTATTTTTTATGGTCTTAGAAATGGGCCTTGTGTCTTCTATATGAGTGCAGCATTTTGCTCAAACCACCTCTGTTTGTTAGATGTACGTTTGCTCAAGAGATTCTCCTTCCTTTTTCTTCTTTAAGGAAAAACTACATTCCTTAGAAGTCAAATAGTTAAGTGCCCGAAGCTCTCTAGCATCCCCCTCCTCTATCCTCTTTTTCTCCTCTTGCATGCCGAAGTATGGAAAACATTAAACAAAAAACTGATTTCTGATCTGTGTACAGGGAGCATTTGAACCACAGCGTAATTTTCGTTCAGTGCTCTCCACAAATACTATTACCACATTTTTAGTGAGTCATACACACCAAAAAAGAACAAAATCGAACGAACAGTTCTAATAATATTACACCAGACGACCAAGTAATATTAATATAGATCTGTAAAATTTAGCTAAACAGAGAAGCATCTCAGAGTGATTGTCCATACAACCGATAAATCTGAGAGGCATCATGTGTGTTCTCATCCTCCTCCTCTGAATACCTCTCTCTTTATGGATTTTTACTCATAACATTTGTCAATAATTGTTCATTTGTGATAAAATATGTAAACCCTCCCATATAACAATAGACCCCTCAGTTTCGGCGTCGGTAATGACGTCATGTCCTTTTACATACTTACTCGGTCCATTGCCATGTTAAATGTAAAGTTTTTGTTGCTGTTGCTTGTGGAGCATGTACGAATGTTGAATAAACCAAGTCGCCAAAATGTATATTTTCTTGAATCCCTTTCAACAGTTATGAGTATGCCCCGACTCTCCGACAGCGTAATCGAATAAATCGATGTTTGAATAGAATAAGAGGGATAACGTAAATACGATAAATGACTCGTTCCGACTCTATTTTTCTTTTACGGCCAGTTGCTATTTTAATTTAATAACTGCATAGGGGGCCCCATTACAAACGTCCCTGTTTGTAGCTACACGATTTTAGGTACAGCCGACATAGGACGTCCCTGTTTGTAGCTACAGCCGACAGTGCCCGAGTCAGCCTAAACTGAAAACTGAACCGTCTATAGACGAATTCATTACTTCCGCCAATGCTAGAATATATATCAGAAGTAAACAGCGCTAAGAACTAAAGCGAAAACGAAATATACCAATGCCTCTCCGAAGCTCTCACCTAGTCCGAGCACTCGGGGGGCAGGGGGCCGCGGCGCGGGGCTTCGATTCAGGAAAGCATTGCCTTCCCTCCAGGCGTGTTCAGCGACAATCATCGACCCACGCCTAGATTGACACGGCGTCACTTCTTAGCTTTTGAAAAGATTTAGGACCCTGAGCCCGAAGTCCCCGTCACGACAGGCGCCTTAGAGAGAAGCCGTGGCCTACCTCGCAGGCGTCCAAGCGACAACGCGTGTCGCGGCGACAAGTGGTAGTAAAAGACACGTCCCTGTTCATGGATACAAAAATGTGGTCAAAAATGTGGCAACATACGATGTCCGACACCACGAGCCACACGCCCCTTTTGTAGTTAAACAGTTGTAGGTAGCTACAGTCAGTCGACATGACCGCATGCAGCATCATCCGAACTAAAATTGTCGGCCCTAAGATCTACTCCCGGGCGGGGGCAAATTTTTTCTTTGTCGCATTTTGTCTCCCGTTCGGCAGGACCGAGCTCAGATCTCGGCCCCGAAGGAGCAAGCTGGTAGCCGAGCGTGTTAAAGCGTAATCGTTGGTAGATCGTGGGGATGGTCGGTAGTTCGAATCCCGTCCGTTATCATTTTTCCTGCTCTGCTGGCCAAGTGTCTTCGGGTGTCAGTCACAGCTGAGATCTGG